GGGCGGCGCTAGCAGAACTGGGGCGGTTCCTCGGGGCAGGGTTAGTGGGTCGTGGAGGGCTTGCTGCGATGGGGATATGATTTTGTGATTTTGTGATTTTGTGCAGCAGTTAATCACCATTACTGTAATTTTTTGGCAGATAGAGGTGATTTAGTGGGACAAAGCGGGGAGATACAAGGCTAGAATTATTCCAGTGAGTTATCTAAGTCCCAGGATGCAAGTTTATTTGATGTTGACTGATGCATTTCTGCAGCTTTTTATTCTACTACAGGTGATGTATATCTTGTTGATACAGTATTTATCTTGCACAGCTCAGAAAATACAGAAGTGAGCTGTTTGAAGCACAGAAAAAATGTTTACAACATACATGACAACATTGCATTGACGAAACAAGTTAAACCTCAGAAATACAATGTCAAACTAGCAAGTTCAGCAGCACAGTCATTATTGATCATCCCATTACAGCTTGGAAGAATGCGCAGAATTTTAAAGACAAAATCAAGACACTAGGGTGAACAGTTTGGGTACAAGGACTGGAAATACGGGAAGGTTAGAATGCTAGAGCTCCAAATAGGAACACAGCAGATGTAAAAGGTTGCTGCCCTCAGAACAGCTCACCTGTCCTGCAGCCTTCCTCACCTCTGAGGGCATTTGGACAAGACAGCACTGTCAAGTTGGCCACAGACTGAATGAATTATTCCAGTGGTCATCAGGCCATAGATGAAGCTTCCTTTGCCTGCATGTTTATTAGGTAGCAGTCCTATGACTTAAACTCTTACTTTTCCTGATTTCCATGTGAATGCTCTAGGTGTTCTATAGCTGATGTGTCTTGGATCAACTGATGCTTTATTATTCACATAGGGTAGAAGAGCATCATAGGGGCTGCTTAGGAAGCCTCACCTGGATCCTGATAATGCCCATGGTTATTCAGTGAGTTGCGTGGGTTTAATGAGCTGCTCCAGGCTGTGAGATGAGTCCCGACTGCCCGACTTTACAGAGCTGCTCGTCTGTGCCCTTGAGATGAAACTGCAGCTCACAACACAAGCTCCCATAGAACAGCAAGCTCCCTGGGCACATCTGTGGGAATGTATTTTTTTGAAGTGGCCCTTTGCTTCTGTGGAAATAGTTCACTTTTATTTCACATGTTTTACCAGAATGAGTACCGTCAGCATTTGATGGGCATTATACTAAAAGCAAGAAAAAGCTTTATGAGACCTAGGATAACTTGTGAATATGTTACTTGCAAAAGTTGGACACCTTACAATGAAAATAAAGCAGAAAATGTGTGTGTGTGTGTATATATATATATATAAACCTTGTATATTCTTGGTAATGATAGAAAATAATAGTCACTTTAAAGAAGGAAAAAGGGTGCTCCTTTCTCACATAGCATATCCAAGGTAGATACAAGTTTATAAGATAGTAACACATGTTTTTATAGTGTTCCTTGATGTTTAGCAGAATGAGGAAGGAGAACGTGGAGGAAAAGGTTGAGGTGTGCGTGTTTCCTTCTTTACTCTTGTAAGATGTGTTTTTTCAATTTTACACAGATGTTTCGTACCACTTGTTATACTAAACTAACTTTTTTTCTTTTTTTTGGAAAAACACATCTGTATTTAGAACAGCTGTTTTTCATGTGCTGTGTAGCTTATGATGTGCTCAAACACTCCCTTGACTTGGAACAGTAGTGCAGTAGTGACAATAGGAAAGTTTGAAGTAATCTTGTAAACTGTTTACTTGTGACACAGAACCATAAGCAGATTTTTTTTATTATTTTCAGGAAACAAGGAGGTCCGACCGCTTCCCATTGAACTTTGGGAGCTGAGGGTGATAACCCATCTGGGAAGGTGAGCGTCTGTCCCACAGTCCCTCAGTGACGACAGCAGGACAGGCCTGAGTGAGGCAGCTGGCGTCAGCCAAGGGTCCCACCACCAGGCACATCCCTGGTGAGGAGGCAGCTCCAAGGTCAAGCCAGGAAGATCGGTCAAGGTTGGAACCAGGTCTGGTGGCAGTAACCAGGATCAGGCAAAGCACCATGAGTGCCAGGCAAGTGCGCCAGTGACCAGGCAAGTCACCTGGGCTTGAGCGGGGACATCGGCCCACAGTCAGGGTCTAGCTTGAGGTCAGTGGCATCATGGCCAGGCACGGCAGAGCTTCAAGCAGCTCCTCTGAGCTGGTGTGAGTGCTGGTCCATGCCAAGCTTCTTGCAGCACCTGCAGGACTGGGATCCTCTCCTCAGCACAGAGAAGGAGCCTCAGCTGTGCTGAGCCCGAGCCCGGGCAGCCAGATCGCTACGGGGGGAACTGCTCTCAGAGCCCTCACAGAACTAAGGATTACCTCAGTAAGTTTTTCATGCATATGGAGTGCTAATATTCCCTCAGTTTGACCTCTTGGAGAGTTATAGCCAAAGAGATTGCTCTAAATTATGTGTGTGCTCTAAACACACATATAATTTGCTTTAATAATTGAACAAAAGTACATTACATCTCTCAGAAAAGCAATGGTTACATTCATTTTCTGGTAAAAGACAGGTTTGCACAGCAGTTACTTTTATCACAAAAAGCATATCACCGAATCCGCAAAGATAAATTGATGTTCTTTGAGATAAATTTGTTTCATTAAGATTAATCAGAATGTTTAAGTAGACTTTCCTTACCACTTACAATGATTCTTAGGATTTTTTTGTTGTTGTTAATATGGACTTCCTGGTTAAAAGAAAAGTCATAAAAAATGGATCATAAAATAGATCATAAAAATCATAAGATAGATCATAAAAATACTAAGTCATATCATAGCAGTAAGTATTTCAGTTCATATAGTAATGCAGATTTTCATTTGCAGACATTAGTCCCTTTCTGTGACCAATTTTGTGGGATTTCATTTCCAAGAAGACACTGTTAAATATTTTGCTAAAGAAGTTATTTGTGTTCATGCCGTGGAATCAGCCTCACAACCTTCATTCAAACAAAGACCACAAATACCATGGTAATTAGCTTGTTGCATAAACCTGGAGGGAGGAATGATTCAAAGGGATCCTCAAAAATAGACTGCATATTTTGTTTAATATTATGACATATGTTATTCTTTAACTTCGTAGGTGTTGTTATTTTGTGCTTCTCCGGGAAAAAAAAAGTTACATCTCTTAAGCACAGGGAATTATCTTGAGTGCCAAACTAAGTCTTCCCTGCATATGAAAATATTGAATTGCAAGAACATTTTAAAACTTCTTTAAAATCTTTTCTCTCCACTAACATAAACAACTCTAAGATTCAGTTTCTTTTTCCAACCTACCATCACGGTTTGTCCAAAATGAGTCTCTTGTTGCAAACTATTGCACTCTCGTATCTGTTTTTGAATCAGAACTCTTTCTTCTGTGTACTGCCAGAGCCTTGTGTGGTTTGCAGCCATAGATATGGCATCAAATAAATTTCTTTGCCTCAGTAACTAAAGAGCCTAGGCACTGTTTGCTTCCCAGGAGACAATAGAAAAATCCCACATGAATTGTGTTGAAACACATGTCTTTCACCATTGGTTCTGTATAGAGCTTGGAGAGACCAGATTCTTAATTTAGGCTTCCCAGGTGCCTCATGTTAAGGGGATGAACCCAGGCCTCTGAACATGAGAGAGGTTCTTTGCTTTCACTTCCTATGTTGGGACTTTTGGAAAATTCTTCTCAACTCCAGGGTTGGAGGATGCCCAGCACACATGGAGCCTTCTGGAAGCCTGGTGACTAGAATCTAAGCATTTTATGGTAGTGTGCAAATTGCATTTTTCAAAGGCTTACAATTTGGCTAAATTTCAGTATCAGAACTACAACAAGTTCCTTTCTTCCTCCTCCCTGAAGTGCTACACTTTCCAAAGTATACACTATTGCCCCAAAACAGTAAGGAAACAGATTTTTAAAATAATACTTAAAAAGTTCTTTATTAATGTCATTTTTGGAAATGAATGAATTATTCTGGCTAATGAATTATTCTAGCTTAGACAGAAAGACATCTGGCATGTATAGTTTCAGTTCACGTCTTCGAAGTTTCATAAAGCTAAAAACAACCAAAGCCAGAGTCTTAAATATTATGTATTGGGCAACCTTAATAGAATGGAGTGCTATCCAGACTGTCAGTAATGATACAGAAATGTTGTGTACACACTGTCTAAATGCATCTTTATCTCCCTTTGCTTTATCTCTGTTTTTGAATATGACTTGTGAAGGGAATTACAAGTGGATGCGGAATTTAAACCAAGCCCTATAG